TAGAGTCCTAAATGATTGTAAAAAGTATTATGATGGTAGATGCAATGTTGATCTTGCTTTTCATTTGTTGAATTTGGATGGTTGTTATGTGCCATAAGATGTCATTTTTCTTTTTGCTAAACACATAACATGTCATGTATGGTAATGTTTCAGTTATTTTTCAAGCTCTGTTTCATACTAAACAAAAAATTTTATGCTACTAAAGATGAAGTTTGGAGGGTAGTGGGACTGGCATATGTGTGAGTTCTGATGATATATTCTCTACATCTAACTTGGCATGGATTTGAAGGCCTATGACAGATTCTAATTGATTTTGATTAATAAAGTGAAGAGTGATGTTTGCTACTTGCATCTTTTAATGAATATCTGCTTACATTTATATCCCAATTCTCTTAACAACCAAAGAAAGAGAGAAAGGGGAAAGACTGTTTTAGCATGGTTTCTAAAAGGATAATAATAATAATAATAATAAAAAGAGGACAAGCAAGCTTGCTTGGGTGTTCTTGTTTTCCTACATGGAATGTAATTGTAATTGTAATTTTTCTAGCTTTATTTGGTTATTGTAGTCTGTAGTTTCAGTGAACTTACGGTTATGATTGTGGCCATTGACTTTTTCTTGCTCTTTTACTTTGGCGGATGTGGTGTAGTTTTTCAGGAGGTTCCATGCTGCATATGTGGATGCAGTCTCAAATCCATTTCATGTTCCGGGTAAAAAGATAACTTCCAGAACTTTTGCAGAAAGGGTGACCACTATAGTCAAGTCATTTGGGTTGAGTTCAACTGGATGAATGCTCCTTCCTTGATATTAAATCTTCTGGACAATCGTCATTCATTAAACTTGGAGAGACCTTTTTACTGTTTCCTCATCATCTTCATTTCATTTTTTCTTCCTCTGGAAGTTGATTAGGCACTGTATCATTTGTGACAACTTGAACTTAGAATTGTATTAAAGATGAACAAGTTGCTGTCATATTTCCTATTTCCTTGTAAACTGGAAATACTTTCTCACTTATGTTGTTATCGGATGATGCCTGCTTTCCAGGAATGTAAAGGAATACGGTTATACTACCTAGAACTTTTTAAGAAGTGTGATTCACTAATAGCCATCGACCATCCTGACTGAAGATAAAACACAAAATTATAAGAGAATAGGACTGAAATTAGGCAAGTTTCTCACAAGTAGTATCTGATTGATCTCAAAAGACAGTTTGAAGGGTGAAAAGGGAGGATATAAAAAACTTGGAACCAAGAATGTCATCTTTGTTCTGGAACAAAATAAGTATCTATGACAGACCCAAATACGAAATCTTAACTTCTTCAACCAGTAGGTCCAATAAAAGAAACGAAAATCTTGATGAAAGCATCCTGCGGTCAAAGAGATTCCTTTTTGAGGTAACTAAGTCAGAACTCATCATCATCCTCCTCTGCAATGTGTTTTGCAAGTTCTTGCTCTTGTTGTTGTCTCTCCCTCCTTTTCTCAGCGCTTTCTTTCTCCTTGTGGGAATTAGGAGGAAATCGAAGTGCACGTACTGCCTCATTATGCATATTGAGACAGAAAACAATCCTAGAGTTGAATGCAGCTTGAGGCTCATTAGTGGAGTAGATGTCACCTGTCTCCTTTGACAGCATCCACCCATTTGCATGATCTAATATTGCATCAATTGCTCCATCTCTTATTGCCTTAGCTACTATACTCTCCGCATCAGCAATAGGGTTAGCAGAGTTCAATCTTAGCTTCTTGGCAACATCAGCCAATGAGATACGAGAGTAGGAGATACTTATGTTGCGCAGTCCTGTCCTAATGACATTATGCCGCAGCCTAACAATCAAGTTATGAGTCTGATCTGAACTGAAAGTGCTCGAGAACTTCTCAGCTACAGATCTAAAAAGCTCCAAATCTCCAATGCGAACAGCCTGCAACATGCACAAACATTTTCAATTTTCTCAAAGAACAGCATCAAAAACTTCAGCTGACGGCTAAAACCTAAGAATATCACACACCAATTAAACATATAAACATGTCATCTATCCCACTTAAACCAAGTTCACCAGTTCATAAAGATCACAAACTTAAGAATCATTATTAGGAAATTTAAATGATATGTGGTATAAGAAAAGAAGATTGTTCTCATATGTGTTTTGTTGTCCTTTTATTTCCATTATTAGGAAATTTAAGACCTAGGTTCCAAGAGACGAAATAACACAACAAACTGAAGCTTCATAAACTTACATTTGTCAACTCAAAGTAAGGCCTCAAAGCCTTTTCCATGCCTTTTTGCATAAAAATGGTCCTCTCTGGGATTTCACCAAGCAGTAATCGAACAATGATAGCCCACTTGTTGCACTGAACTCGGAAACCCAGGGCTGCAACAGGAGCTTTTCTAGCAGCTTGAAGGAGAGCCTCTTTTGCATCCGTGTACTCCAACTGAATGGTCCTGATCTTACCCAAGTAAAAAAGGTAGCGGCAAAACTGCATGAAGAAGAATTGGTATTACAATATGAAAGCTAACTAAGTATTATGAATAACATGTCAAGTCAATCCTCCTATAATGTTGTAATGTTTTTACATTGAGGCAAAAAGAAACAACACCCTTTCTGTAATTGGGAAAGAAATAGGGCAGAAGAAAAGTGTGCATTTTTAATGTATTAATGTAAGCATGCATCCATTGGTAGCACAGATTGATTATGCAAGAGGAATAAAAAATGCATGCCACCATGAGTAATTTCCTCTCATAATCAAGATGTGTTCTTTCTCTGCACCATGTCTTAGATAACAATAGAAAAGAGGGGTTTTAGTTTTGGCCAGGAGTTAGATGCTATTGGCTCTAGAGAGCTTAGTCTTTTGTCTTTTTGGACTATGGAAAATTCAACAAGCCTAATTCAAACAACAAGAGAGATAATTTCACATGAGATATACTACCAAAAGTAAATAGATACGGAAAGAAAACAGAGAGTTGCCTGCTGGTTTGAATGAGCTTCAAATCTTGGTGCCTTTGATCTCAGTTTCTCTGCTTGATCATACAAATTGTAATGTAGATAATTGCGAAGTAGCAGGTTGAGAAGTGTTTCCTACATCAGAACAACATTTAATAGACAAAAACCCAGCAATAACATAGAAAAAACAGCAAGGATAATTGAAACTTTACCTGTCCCAGTTCATCATGACGCAATGTTGCAATTCGGTGCAAGGCAAGAAGGTCACTGTCAAATGTCAACAATGAGCATCTTCATCAGACCCAGCTAGAATCTATAACGTTGCTTTACTTCTGAATATATACGCAACAACACATGCTACTCTAGGATTTCTTAACCTAAAAATAATGAAATATGACTTACCCTCTAATTTCAGCAAGATCACCAGTGAGTTCATAGCTTAGAGAGTAGTAGAAGTAAAGCCTAGCGGCTAAAACATCAACTGTCCTCCTATTCACGTTCTTCAGTCGAGCAATGCTTGTGGAGGAACATGCTTTTGCCTAAAACAAAAATTGTTATGTAAACGAAGAAACAGAAAAACATCCTTGAAAAAACTATTTTCTGACTCACCTCATTGTACTTCTTCTGATCAATCAGAAATATCAAGACAAGCAAGTAGCAATAGATTTCAAGCTCTGGCAATGGATGTTTTGCGGGAGCTTGAAGTGAAGAGGTTGCAGTATCAACTTCCATATCATGCTCATCTTCCTATCACCAACGTTCAACAACACAATGTTTAAGAATATTATACACCCAAGTTACTAAATTTGATGAACATGCATTACAACTAAAGCCTAACACTATCAAATTACAGGCTTTTCTCAACAGGAATTGCCCACTACATAAATACTAAAGCTTTACCTTAGGAAGATAAGAAGACAACCTATTATGCGCCTCTGATCCTGGGGGCAGAGCAAAATTGAGGAATGCAGAGAGCACAGATGCCTTCAGTTTCCGCCGGAGGGCCATAGTAAGCCTCACAGCTCGCACAATTCTCCTGACTTCCCGGGCATATGCACCGGTCTCTATCAGAGAGGCAATCTCCTTCAAATCTAACAAATAACCAATTCCATATTATAAACAAAAACTCAAAATTCAACATCAAATACAAAGAAATCAAAAAGAAAGACACAAAGACCCAACACAGCATACATATTGAATAGACAAACATAAAAGTACTTGATCTTACGTTGCAAAGTGGAAGGAGAAAATGAGGAGAGAGAATTGGAGGCAGCTGGTTGCTCTTTCATCTCGACATCTTGAGTCATCTTGAAGAAGCTGAATCACAGTCGCAACAAATACTGCTGTGAAATTTAGATAAAATAAACCAAAACCCTAGATTTTAAGCTGAAGGTGATTCATTGACCTATGATCTTCAAGAAAACTTACACAATGTAGTGAATCTGAGATGGGGCGAGCTAGGGTTTTCCTTTCTTGTTCAGAGGGTCAGAAAGAGAAAAGTAGACAAGAGGAAAGCGAGAAAGGGAGAGACGACGAGGATATAGAGGAGCCAGAAACGACGTTGTTTCAGAGAGATTTTTTATTCTTATTTTATTTTATTTTTGATTTTGAGGATAATTTTTTCTTAATAATGCTTGTTTTTTGAGTGTTTTTTTCAAGTGTTTTACAAGTTAAATTATTTTAAATTATAAAATAGTGTATTTTTTAAAAATTATTTTAAATTGTATTATAGAAAGTAACAGTAACAATTTTTTATATTTTATATGTAATAAAATTCTTAAGAAATATTCTTTTATATTTTTACTTAATTCACTCTTTTATTTATATTAACATGTCTAAATTACTTTAAAATAAATTTTGAGTCAATTAAAAAAAAAAAAAAAATTCTTTCACTAATTCTTCTCTTGAGAAAGTTGAAATCAATATATCTCCATATGTAAAATATTAAGATTATTTATTAAATTATTTAAATACTCTTATATTTTAATTTATTAAAAATATTTAAATATTTTCACAAATAATTCTAACATTATAATTACTAAAACATCTTAATTTTCTTTAACCCTTCCTTCTTCTATCTTGATTTTTCTTTTTCTTTTTTTCTTTTGCCATCTTATGAAATGAACCAATATATAAGGAAAACTAAGAAATATGCTCTGAGGTAACAAGCAATGTGTACACGAACGAAAACAAGGCTTGAGAGACAAAGTTTAAAATCAAATCTTCAAACTGAGTTAGAGGCCTCTCAAGTTCAAATCTTGCTTAAAATGCAATAAAAAATTATTGAAATTTAAACTAAGCTTTTAGGAGAAGAAATGACTAAAATTTTATGATGAGCATGACAGAAGTAGAAATGTCTTCTTTCAAGACAAAACATAGAGCTTCCCACAGTCAAAGCCAGCCCTCCCAAACATGAATCCAACCAAGATCTTGTTCAAAAACAAATCCCTCAAGAAATTTATTATCTTCCCACCAGCCTGTTGTATCCCTCCAACAGTATAAGATGTGCAAATGAGCTCAATGCTTCTCCATCTCCTCTCTCTGGCATATTTCTCTAACCCCATTTCAATCCTCTTCCATTCATCCTCCCCTGGTTTTGAGAAGGCCTCAGCAAGACATCTGGCCAAAACAACACCATCTTCAAGAGCAGAGCACCCACCTTGGCCAATTTCAGGGGTCATGGGGTGGAGGGCATCACCTGCCACACAAACATTGCCCTTGCTGATATTTCCCCACAACAAGTCCCACGGTCGCCTGTATTTCAATGGAGATGTTATAATGTTATCTAGATTAGTATTTTCAACGATGGACTTCAATTTCTCAGGCAAATTTCCAAGGTTGGTTGATGCAAATTGCTTCAGTTTAGCTGGATTCTCCTCTAGTTCTTTATCTACAACCACACTGAGCAGTTTTAGAAATGACCAAATTAAATAACAGAAGAAAAGGAGCTGATTGTTACTGATTATTACCATGGCTAGAGGATGTATAAGTCAAAAACCAATAAACTATTTGATCATCGCAAGGGATAAAACCTGTTCTAAAGCCATTGCCAAAGAACTGAATGACATCTGGTTCAAATTCATGACCATGACCTTTGAGATCTACATAAGCCCTAATGGCTAACCGCCCTGAAAAAACTGGCTGATCAAAACCGAGCCACTTTGCCACCACTGAGTTAACTCCATCACAACCAATCAACACCTTTCATATGCAAATTGATGAAGGTTTAAGAAGCAAGGTTGAAAATTGTAATCCAATGGCGTAAAAGATTCAGATATTCACCTTTGTTTTGATAATTGTTCCATTAGCAAGATGAACCAGCTTAAAATGACCCGATTCCTCAATAGAAACTACTTTAGATGAGTACCTAATTGTGCCTTTTGGAAGTTCCTTCTCCAAAGCTTCAATCAACAAGTTTCTCTTCAGAGATCGGACTTCATGTTCTTTTTTTTTTTCGGTTTCCGTCCGGTATCCGGGGGCTTCGTTCCGACTAATCCGGATCTGACCCGAGTCACGCACTTGAAAATGGTGGGTGAGTCTCCCAACAACGAAGGCTGCTGCGTACACAAGTACTCGAACTCAATATCTTGCTTATGCTGGAACAAGTCGCTTACCACTTGATCCAATCCCTCGTCGGTGGACTTCATGTTCTTTTAATAGTAACTCCGAACTGATTTTGCTAGAAACCAATGAGTACACACTATGTCTGCATCCATGTGACTCCTCGGGTCAGTTTTGAAAAAAAAGAAAAAAATATAAACCCAACCTAAAAATTCTCTCTTATGCATCAAGGAGAAAGTCACCTCTGAAATTGCTTGTGCTGCTGGCGAAGGGTGTCACCTACACCAACAGCGTCAAGGGCCTTCCAAGCATTGTTCCATGTCAAAATTGCAAATCCAGTGGTCCTTAATCCATCTGATGATTCCAAAACCAAACTTGGAATCCCCAGTCTGCGTTTAGAAATTGCAAAAATCATTCACTACCATTCATTTATCTATCTATATTTGCCTCAAATTAAGCTCTTTAATAAATTATTATAATACCTGTGAAGTCCCAAGGCTGTAGTTAGGCCAGCAAGTCCAGCACCTGCAATCACAATATCTTCAACAACTTCCATTATGTTTCTGGCTTAATTGAGGTAAGGGGAAGCTGGAACTAATGGAAAGATCAAGGGATCAAGGGAAGATAGATAGAGATGAATGAAGATGAGAAGGCTCTGATAATAATTGATGTTCTGGAAGAAGGAACATGAAGACAACGACGATGACAAGCTGATGATGCAGTTAATACGTGTTGGCCGGTTGAAAGCTTCGTCTACAACGCAATTTAATCGGAAATTATATAATTATAAGCCATTTTAACTTTAACCCGACCGACACTATGATTAAGTGACTCTAATCATTCTTGTAAGGTTTATATAATTTTTTTAAGGATAATGATTTGAATCGGTTTCATGATTAAAATGACTTTAATTACCCTTGTAAGGTTTATATTTCTTTTTTTAATGATAATAATTTGAGTCGATTTCATAA